CCCAGCAACATTTCAGCGATGCATGGACATTGGTTTAAGACCTGTTCTTGGAAAGTCCACATTTATCTATTTAGACGATATCATTATTACTAGTGATAATCTCGACCAACATATACAGGATTTAAGACAGGTGTTTGCTTTACTAAATGAGGCCGGTCTAAAAGTTAATGTCGAAAAGTGCACATTTGCAGCCCCTGAATTAAAATATTTAGGTTACAAAATATCGCAAAAAGGGATCGAGACAGATGAATAAAAAATAATCGCTGTACAAAAGTATCCGACTCCAAACACGGCAAAGAAGCTCTCTTCTTTTCTAGGACTTTGTTCATATTATAGGTCCTTTTATAAAAGATTTTGCGGCTATCGCTGAGCCATTGTTAAAATTAAAAAGGAAAAAGGCAAGATTCTCGTGGACGGCCTGAAGCCAATAGTGCTTTCGAAAAATTAAAACAAGCATTAACGCAAGCCCCTGTGTTGAAATTTCCTGAAAAGGATGAAAATTTAGAAATTTCAGCGGATGCTTCGGATTATGCGGTAGGAGCGGTACTTTCGCAAAATCAGCAGCCCGTGGCATTTTTTAGCCGAACTTTAAATCAAACTCACAAAGAAATTTTAAATAAACTATTCCGCGACCGAGAGAGAGGCACTTGCAGTTCTGTTAGCAGTGCAAAAGTTCCGAGTCTATTTTGGAAAGGCGCCGATAACAGTGTATTCTGATCATGCGGCAGTAACTAGAAGTATCATCAATTGCATATACTCAGGAAAAAATTTATCCCCAAGGTTAATAAGATGGGCACTCAAGCTGCAAGAATATAATCTGGTAATCAAGCATACCCCCGGAAAGGAAAATATCGTAGCAGATGCCCTATCACGAATAAAAATTAGACGAAGAAGGGTAATACCGTAAAAAGTTGTAATGCTGACAGCGTGTACAATAAATTCCCGAGAAACTGTAATAACCGAACTGGGTAAGGATCCTGAGTTTGGAAGTATTTATGAGTATTTGAAGGATCCTGAAAATTTTAGCCACCAAGATATTGTGGCGATAAGAAATAGGGCGGCCCATTACGAACTAATAGATGGTCTATTATTCTACACAAAAACTACGAATTCCAACAACGAATTTCGACCTGTTATCCCAGCTAGTCTTAGATTAAATATCCTGCAAGGAGCTCCATGACAGCCCTTTAGCTTCTCATGCTGGTATTCGAAAAACTATCCAACGCGTACGCGAGGCAGTCTACTTTCCTGAACTGCAAAAGTTAACAAGGGCGTATGTCCAGTCCTGCCCAACATGTCAAGCCGTTAATTATATTAATTTCCGCCCGGCCGGGTTTCTAAATAGTATTAAATCCGAATTTCCAAATGAAATAATCGGCATCGATTTATTGGGCCCTTTCCCCAAAAAGTCAGTTAAACAAAAGTCGCTATCTCCTTGTTATGGTTGATCATTTTAGTAAATGGACCGAAATTGTTCCCTTAAAACGAGCCTCCGCGAAATTAGTTACTGATTCTATTTTAAATAAATATATTTTAAAATACGGGGCGCCCCTAAAAGTTATATCGGATAATGGTCCTCAATTTGTAAGTAATATGTTTGAAGACATGTGCCAAAAACTGGGCATACGTCATTTAAAAATGGTCCCGTATCGGCCGCAATCAAATATAGCGGAACGGGTCAACAGAAATATAGTGAAAATTATCCGTAGTTATGTTAAAAATTTTCATAAAAGCTGGGATAACTATGTCAATGAATTTGCTTTCGCCCTTAGGACCGCAAAACATGATACAACGGGCAAAACTCCTGCTGAGTTATTTCTAGGCAGAAAGGTTATAACACCGTTAGATAAACTATTTTATGTGCAACAAAAAGAGCCCCAGAATTTAAAATGGGTGATATAGAAAAACTAATAAAAGAAGCAAAAAAGAATACGGAAGTAGCACAAAGAAAACAGAAGTTTATACTATGATCTGAAACGACGGGGAGTAACTTATAAAGTAGGGGATGAAGTTTTAAAAATCAAGCATTCACTTTCTTCAGCACCAGAAGATAAAACTGCCAAATTTTTTCCACGCTTTGAAGGACCATATGTTATAGAAAAAAAATAACTCACGCTGTTGTAGTGTTAAAGGCAAGAAATGGTGAAACCTGTTCCGCAAATATTGATCAAATTAAACCCTACTTCGATCGTAATAAAATGAAAATCTTTTCAGATCTTTTGCAGGATCCGGTACGGCAGACACGCAGGCAGTACAAGTTCCAGAGGTGGGAAAACGACAAGTATAAGGGCAAGCCAATGAGAGACAGAAGCAAGTGAAAAGAAAATTGCCCCGCGGAAAAACTGAAGGTAAAAAGAAAAAGAAGCCGTTCCACCGTCCAGAAAACAGAGTTCACGAACACCCCCAGAATGAAGAAGGGAGAAGGACGACGTATGTGGAAAGGACCGGGAGAAAGGACGGCAACTATAACCCGGCTGTGAAACGGAAGATTGACTCATCCGACAGAACTCTCCGCATCAAAAGTCGCCGAACTGCGGAAGGGCCACCAGCGGCGGAGGAAAAGTAAAAAGTACAAGAAAAATTTGAACGGCCAACAACGAGGTCCAAGCAGGAATCACGACAGAAGTTTCCCAGTTCCACCAAGACCAGCTGCCTTCAAACGGCCAAGACCACAAGCAGAGGCACAAAAGGAAGGTGTTCAAGGGTGGCCGAACTGGTGAAAAACAGAAGCTTCCAGAGGAAAGCACTGAAGGGCGAGCCCGTACAAGAAGGCAGGATCAAACCAAAGCTACTATCAGCTATACCTTTAAAGACTGGGCCCAGAAAAGGATGTCTGAATATTACAAAGATAAGTAAAATTTTATGTTACTTTACAAACTTAAGTTAATCTTTCATTCTTACTGCAAGTGGCAGATTTCAAGAAGTTTTACCTCATGCGAGGTCTACCTTTATCGCCAAAAAGGCGAGAAATGAGTTGTGACCGATTTTCTTATTATGTTTTTCAATTACTCGCGCGTAAAACTAAAGTTGATGTATAATAGCGTTGTGTAAGACTTAAATATTGTAAAAAGTTATTGTATAAATTTTATTTAAAACATTCTAGCAAGAAAGAAGTTTTAGTCTGAAAGACTTTGAAATGTAGTATTATTTCAATGTAGAAAGAATTGGCACTTGCTTTGAAAAGAATAGAAGTTAACAATGTACTACTAATGTATGTTTTCAAATGTGTAAAATTAACGGCATCTTGATATGTTCTTATATACATGTGAACTGTTATTTTAAATGTTAAGAAATACCGTGATATGGTAAAAGTGAAAGTAATGTTAAAAATTTGTTATTCGTGTGACTGTAAAGATTAAATCATGACGAATATATGTTAAAGGTTGAATGATGTAGTTAGGCTCTCTGACGCTACACTTTAGAGTTAGCCACTTTTAGAATAGTACCTCAGGGTTTAGAGTTGAAAAGTAGGGTGTGTTAAGAGGTCTCGTATGTTGAATTTTAACACGTTAGTGTTTTGATTGTAGGAGGAAATGTGGCACACGTAGACAGAAACACATTCGTGTTTGGTGTTTTTACAACACATGTCAGAGAGCACGGGGAGAGATAATTAAAATAGTCATGAATGAAATAAGAATGTTAAGAGAATATGTTATTTGCAATGTCATTCTGTAACATTTCATTAAACTAGTTTTCCTTCCAGATCTCTGGAAGGAACCAGAATTGAATAAAGCTCCTGTTTAGATGCAGTACAGATGAAAAAAAAAAAAAAAAAAAAAGATTGTTGTATATCCCGGGAGCTGCTATTGTAACAAATTTCTTTCTTTTAAATTTTCTAGTTTCTAGCTAAGTTATGATTGTAAAAGGTTGGCCTCGCGTTAGTTTCTAGAGCTAAAAGTTTTCAACAAGGTCGTTTTAGACCTGTTTCAAACTAATTAACTCTGGCGGGAAGTATGTAAGGATCTTAAGTTTTACTAACGTTTATTTTATTTTAAATCTTTACTATCACTTCTTATTTTCTATTTCCGGCCAGAATTATAAGCGTGAAGGAGTTTATGCAAAGTTGTCTGGCGAACGCCAAGTATTTAAGTGTGGCCTTTTTGCCAAGAGAGAGAGAGGAAGCAGTGAGTTCGAAGCAGGCCGCTTACCTTAGAAGTTACGCAGTTGCTATTTGCCTTCCAGGCCAGAGGTTTTAATCCTCTTGATAAATTTAAACGTATTGTAGTGTTCACAGTCTCTGTGCTACATACGCTTCCTGTTATTATAAGGCCAATCTTATTCTAAAGTTAAATTAGAGTTTAGTTTTATTTTTATACCTTTTACGTTAGACCCCGAGTGGAGGGTCATTGTATTCCGAAGTACGGAAGTCATTGTATATAAAGAAAAATAAAGGGTCTTGTATACCCTTCGTCTGTATCCTGTCTACTTACTACAATTAGTGAACATAGCTTTAGTAAGCTCTCTGTTCCTAGTCAGGTCATTGTATGTTTCCGAAGAAGGTTAGAAGAAACATTGAACCTGATAAACTAAGAGCTTACTGAGAAGTATAAAAAACAATTTCAACATCATTAAAAAATTCTAACTTAACAGTAATTTTCCTGGAAAAGAAATTATATTTTAACATTAATTTTTAAAATTTTAACGGTGGAAAATGTTCATCATTTTATGAAAAATTTCATGTCATTAAAACTAGGAATTAAAAGTTACATATGGATTACCAACAATATGGGGATTGGCAGCTTTAACTCTTGTGTTGTAGAAGGGTGAAATTATTTAATGCAAAACTTACTGTTATTCTTTTTTTTTTTCCATGGTGTAAATGCTATCTGACTTATAAACAATCTATCAACAATTACTATATAAATTCTTTAAAAATTATATGAAATTTAAATTCATATTAAATTAACTCACTCCTAATATATGCAAGCGTACCTTTCATTTTTAAAAATTAAATAAGTACCAACTGCTGTATTAAGTTGAAAAAATAATGAATCTGTCAGTCCATTTTTTATATCAATATTTATTTTTTATACAGATGTATGTGTATTCTGAAAACTTTGTCACATTTAAAACTATGAGCTGAAATTAGTATTCTGAAAAGTATTATTCATTAGCATCTTCATATACAAAATCCTCCAATTACAACTATGGAAATGAAATCCAATCACAATTGTGGAACCACATTTTACATAACTGCAAACACTACATAACTGTTAATGAATGACCTAGCTATAATACAGATACATATACAAGTTCTTTTTTTATCTTTGAGCCATCTGTGGTGGCATTGGCATTCCTAAACCTGGCATTCCACCTGCAGATACTGCTGCACTAGGGCCCAGAAGAATCTGAAAGAAAAAATTACAAATATAAAGTTTCATACACAAAAGTCACGAATGTGGATACATTTTCATAAAGGGCCTCATTAAAAAGATGCAAATACCTATACGCAAGTTGGCCACTATTCAAAAAGTCTTCATAAGAGTGCAAAGGTGTGAGGTTTTTGAGTTAATATCAATTTTAAACATGGTGATTACAGTGATGTAGTTGCATTTCTGCGCATGTGCAGTTTAGTACCTACATTTGTTGATTAGTCACAGATGCCAGCAAACAAACTTTTGTCCATATTTACATTTCTTTGTGCATTAAAAATGCCTCAGATAACTGAAAAATCATACATTTCTTTGTGCATTAAAAATGCCTCAGACAACTGAAAATCATACCAATCGTGAAATACTTTTTTAAGGCGAGTGTCACTGAAATTCTTGGATAGATAAGTGAAGTGTATGGAAAAAACACTATGAGCACTGGAATGGGAAGAAAACTGATTAAAGCATTTAAAAATCGCTGTAATAATTGTTCATGGCCAAGAGTTGGGGGGAGGGACAATTGTCTGTCATTACTGAAGACTTGGTGCAGAAAGCTGATTAGAAAATAAATGCTTTAAAGGTCTTGTAATTATGTGATGAGTTTCTTTAAATTTAAAAGAGTGTTCTTTTTAAAATTGTGTCTCTTGTTACACGATACTCAATTATCATACATGAAATGGAGGCATGCTATGACGATGATGATAACATTAAAATGATCAAGCTGTAGTGAGTGACAAATCGGGCAGCAGATTTCAACGAGTATCGTACACAGAAGCTGGTTATGCAATATCAAAGGTGGCTTAAGACTGGTGGTGGTAATGTTAAAAAGTAGATTAAGATACAGGCTTTCATGTAAAAAGTAAATTGCACTTTTTTATATCAAAGCAGTACTTACTCAAAAAATATGCCTCATATATTCTCTCATGCAAATGCGGGGGTAGGTGGGCATGCATTGCTATGCAACAGAATTTTCATTTGTTCTATTATAAGGGGCAATAAATCAAAATCCTCCCTGTAGTAGCTCAGAATAAAAGTGCTCATATCTCAATAAGGTTAATCTTTTTGAGCTATAAATTGATCTCCATAACAATATGAGAATGTTTATGCCATGGTACTCTTAAGATTTCGTTTTGAGTGGTAGCTGACCTGTATCACGGTGCCAGAAGCATTATGGAGGTACCCCATAAAAGTAGACATACACATAAAGAAATAAACTAGAACTATGAGTTTCAGTGCACTCAACTTGTCCCTGAAAAATGAAGATTTTTTCAGACAATTTTTTGAGAGTACTATGAATTCTCAAAATAGTTATGCTATTGAATGCAAATCAAAATATAAATATATGATAAGCTTGTACTAACAAAAGATATGCAGAATTTTATAGGCTTTCAACATTTAAGACAAAGATCTTCACTCACGCAGCTTATGAAACTGAAAAACAGAGACTTTTTACGGAGGTTATAATATGAAAGCTAATAATGTGTTTCAATGACATCAATGACTCTTCAATACTAAGGTTATATAAACAAACATCTTTGTTAAGATTACTCTTAAGAAATAATGCATTTGGTATTATCTGTGTTAAACATCATGTACCTGGTACAAAACACTGAAAACATGGCATAGCTGCCAACTCAACTCTGAAATATGAAAACTCAGAAGTTTCCGAGAGATTTGCGCTGCCACCATTTCAAAAGTACTTGAGCTTCTAAGCAGTATCAAATATAAAAGAAGAAAAGAGGAGCTTTTACCTCAGAGTCTCAAAAACATGACTTGGAGAAGCGGTAACTTCCTTTTGTAATTTTTTTACATTTCTATAAGGTAACAACAATACTCTAGTTTCATTTGGGAAGAAATATTAATTCCAGAGATAAATGATGTTCACATAAATGAGGAATCCAGTGTTAACACACACAAATTTCTTTACATAACAAATACAATATTTTACAATAAGTATTGTTGTGCATCCACCTTCAAATTATTAGGCCTAAACCTTCATTATTGCACTCCTTTATGCAGATATCAAACTATTCAGAAGATAAAATGCCTAAAGCGTCACATAATGCTATGAATTTACAACATAAACCGAGAAAATTCTGAGTGAAGGAAAGCATTAATTTATCAAGTACTTTTAACTAGGTTGAAAATAAAATTAACAATTACTGTACATACTGTGGATAACCTTCGTAACGTACCATATATATCGATGTAAAACAAAATTAAATATAAATATGTAATGATTAAACATCGACCCAATCTTCATATGAAGTTATACAAATGTCTACAGCATATTAAGACAACTCAGATCCAACAAAATTTAATAAGAAATATGCTGAAAATCACTAGGGGTAAGGGAATGAAATTTTTCAAATTAAGTTTCATGTATTCAATAAATTCATTATATTTCTAAAAGCCATTTTCCTTAGTAGAAGTTAAAAATTAAAACCATTAAAATTCCGTGATTTACCAAAACACAAGACAATAAACCAGGAGTACCCCGGTAAAACTGAAAAGAGTTGGTTACTTATTTTGACAAACCACTCAATTATAATTTCATAAAGGCATTCATAAATCATTAGAAAGTTTTGATTATTTTTTAAATACCACTGAATATTTACCTAAACTGGTAACCAGTAATAGGGTTATCATAGATACATATTTCTTACACACTAGACTAAGAAAATCTTTCCAGAAAACAAAAGCTTCTCCTCTTACTACCATTTAGTATCACATTTATCCATTACTGGTTACACACTAGACTAAGAAAATCTTTCCAGAAAACAAAAGCTTCTCCTCTTACTACCATTTAGTATCACATTTATCCATTACTGGTGCTTAATCATATTGTTTGACGAAAATGGTCAACGTTAAACATACTGGCTGGAGTAGCCATCATGATACTGACTAAATTCTGTTATGATTTTTGGAATCTCTCATATCTTTCCATGCCATACTAACACCTCACTTCTTTTCAAAAGCAGAAAACAATTTTTTTAATAGAGATAAACCTTTCATTATAGTACATTTTTAGTTATAAATTAAAAAACACCCCCCATTGTCTAAGCATCTTTCAATAACTTTAAATTTTACTTTCAAATTTTTCTTTCACAAATATTTTAACTTATAGGTTAGGTTATTGAACATGGCAAACCACATAAGGGCTATCTGTCTTAGAAAAGGAATACCTTTGTGGATAAGAGAAACTGGTTCATATTCACGTTACACATGAAAACCAACCATGCAGCCAGTCCACTTGACTAGGATCAAACCCAGGAATAAAATCCAGTAGTCTTAACCACTTGCTTAGGAATAGGCGCTCTCTTAAATGAATGGTGCATTTGAGCTATCAACTTGGCATGACTTTTTCAATAACCTCAAAAATGATATAAACTACCTTCCTGTAGACTAATTTGTTTATGCTACTAACTGCACCAAATGGAAATGAGAATTTAGTATAAACAGGTTAGGAAAAATATGATCAAATTGTTCAAATATTTCCGTGCCAACCAGGTGTTAGAATTTATGGCAGGCAAAAATTTTAGAATTCAGAACACAGTGCCAAGCACAAAATCAAGGATGGCCACATTTTTAAAATTTAACAGAGGCACAGGGCAGTAGAATTCAGGGGTAGTGAAATTTCAGAATTTCAGGAGGTACCCTACAGCAGAATTTAGGACCCACAAAAATTGCACTAAATGACAAAATACATGGTGCAGGCCCTGCCACCCCTTCAGCTGCTCAAGGGCAGAAAGTGCAATTCCATCAACATCAATGTAATGTCAATCAATGCACTGTTACTGGCCAACATGTAACTCCCCAAACAGGAGGCGTTTAAAAGTGACATGCAAAAATCAGTTAGTCTGAAGAAACATTGCATCAATGGCATACCTGTTTCCTATTGTTATTATATTCTCCATTTCTAGACTTGGTAAATGGATTTATTAATTATTTAATTGAATATATTTATTTGGCTGGTTATCTCGAAGTCCAGACATAGGACATCTGGATTTCAGACTTTTTACAGCATAATTATTAACACATCTGATTGTTTATGCTGACTAAAAATATCTGATGTGGACACCACTATTTCTTGGTACAGCCTATTAAATTATACACATTTTTTTGCTGCAATTCATTCACTTATTTCCTTGAATTTCAAACTCAAGCATCTTAAAAAAAATTGCAAAACAAGAGTAAAACATGAAACACCATATACAGCTGAAAACAGTTAAGAAAATAATTTTTATAATTAAAATTAGAATTTCTATGCAAACTGTTGATAAGTACAACTATTGCATGCAGATTAACTAAAGGCATAAAAACATTAATCAGAACATAAGAACAATGTAATTCAATCACTTTTAAAGCAAAAAATACAAAATTTACAATTCACTTATACATAAGAATAATAAAAAATAAAAAAAAAAAAAAACTTAGATCACTGATCCAGGTAAAGAGGTTATCGCAGTTAGCTACAATTCCGGCTAGACGGGACTTTTTTGAGAAACGAGATTCTGGAGGCACTGATTTAACTGGGAGGATTCCTAGAAAAAAGAACCCTGCCTGAAGTGAAGTCAAGCCTAGCTACGGAAACGATGTTGTGGCTATGCAGGATTTTTCAAATCTGACAGAAAATCTCTCGGCTGGAACCAATCAGATAAAAGTTCTTCTTCTGAAGCATCACATAATCCCATTCTGAGCAATAATCAATTAGTGTTTGGTGTTCAAGTTTTTGTAGAAAGTGAAAACGGTAACCTAGCTACGTGGGTTTCTTGGAATTGTGCGGATTCTGAGAAGTGTCCCTTTCGACGTAAAGTCCCGCATAGCCGAAGCATAATGTGATTGGGACTTAACAGAGTGGGTGTATACGTGTATATATATATATATAAGTTTGGTGTGGCTGATTCCAACCAAAAGGGAGGTGCGTAACTATATGGTATAGCAGTCTTATATACAAAATTTAAACATTCCAAGGCTACTCATTTTTGAGTGATGCAAGATACATACGTATGTATGTAGACGTCCTGAAAAAAATCTCTTCTAAATCAATTTTGTAATCCGTTTTGGGAAAGAGAGTCTTTTATTCTTTCCATATGTACAGAAGTCACACAAAAATATCTTTCAAATGGATTTAAGAGTGGTTAAAATGGATATTTTCGTTGAAATATGATAAGCGAAATTTTTTTGCGATTATAATATTTCCTCTACTTCATAAAAGAAAAGAAAAAGCTGAACCCTCCAACAGAAGAAAATTACATACATTTATTATGCATAGTAATGATACAAACCTGTCTTTGCTGTTGTCTCTGCATGTCTTCTAACTGCATTCGTTCAAACTCGATCACAACAGGTGCAACCAAAATGGCAGTTGATGAGCAAATTATCCACACAGCAGATCGGCTGTATTCATAGATACATTTTGCACCTGACACTGATTTACTAACAGCAGACGAGGTAAAGTTCCTTAAACTTTCTGGAAACATTTCTGTGAGGCCCCAAAGTCTTTCCATTAATGTTTCATCAATATCCTAACAATAGGAGAATGAAAACAAATGTTGATAAAGTGTATACAGAACACACACTAAAAAATTATTGCACACATATTTGGTGGTCGTGTGTGCTTAATGCATGATATAATTAAAGAAAATAAGAATAGACAATCTCCTATAACAAAAGAATATATTAAGTACTAAATTACAATTTAAATTACATTGAAGAGATCAACACAGAGCTCGGAACACAGTTCATGCTATCTTCGCGTACCGTTGTGTGACGAGAAGTCTGAGTGAGTAAAGATGTCGCTTTTCCGATTAAGAACTGGATTCTACACGTGGCGCCATCTCATGAATAGAAGTTGAAGTATCTGTCGGAACGCCACACATATATACAAAAGTTGTTTTTACCGTCTATTCCTGCACACAAGTGGACAATTTTAAGAAAAACATCAAACTTCGAAGTAGGGGTTCGACTTATATGGGGAAGCTAAAAAAAAGATCCGCCAATTTGTTTCCATATTTCGATTCTACGATTCAAATTATGCCAAACTGCCAAAAAATCGCACGAGTAGTTTTTAAAAAATTAGCTCCTTGATGTTAATTGAATTTGATACATATTTATTTAACTCTTTTTTTTATTATTAAACTTACTTGATTACTTCTTCCATAATTCGAAATTTAGGCTTAATCCAAATATAATTCGCACAATATTTATGATTTATTTTTAAAAGTTTGTATTTTTAAATATTTTTTATAAATTTTTGAAAAAGTTTTTGTATTATAACTTATAAAATTTTCAACATCTTCTTAAAGTAGATGTATTTCTAGACATGCCTGCAAAAAATTAAGAGTTTTTTTATTCAAAATTATGTAAGATAAACATGAATTTACATATTGGCATGTTTTGAAATTTAGCATATTTGCTATAAGTGATAATAATGCCAAACGTGGTTTATGCACACCGTTAAAATTATTTGAAAGTATGAGCAATGACTTTTTCCCCACTTCCTCCCCTTTGCAGATTGCAATGAAAAAAATAAAAGGAAAATAGGTTGCTATAAATTAAGAAGTTTGCAAAGTAAATTACTCCTGGTACAAACTGGAAAAAATCCACCAAGATGAATTTCTCCGTAATTTTGCACCAAATTTTACAAAATTTTATATTTAGGCATAATTTCACTTGTAGAATCGAAATGCGGAAAAAAATTGGGATGTCATTTCAGAAAATATCTGATTTTGTGTCAAAATACCTATGGTAGAATGATGCTATATATAAATCTAATACAGTATATCCTAAGTCGCGCTTTCGAAACATAGAAAACACAATTTGAATTTCGTCAATTGCCCCAGTAGAACGGGAGATATTGAACTGTTCCCCCTTTTTTCGTGTGTGCAGTGTCCACCGACATGCTGTTTTATCGGCAGTGACACCGCTGCTCATGCGACAAATTTGCTTTTCAAAATTCGGGGGACTGACTGATACATGGGTATATATGGTAATTAATAAATTCACAAGACTATTTTCAATAGAGTCAGTACTTGGCTTTTATAGCAGCCTTGATTTTGAGGATAAATATGTTTTAAAAGAATGGCATCTTTTTAAATACATTAATTGCTCATTTCTTATTACATGAGAACTAGGCTTGACTCAGTCAACAATTTAAAATTGTTACATCTTAAATTTTTTTATATGGGTGTGCTTGATATCTTCTCATATTTTGTCTCATCATTGAATCACAAACAATTCACATAAATATACAAGTAAATAAATAAATACAAGTAAAAAAATTAAATCATCAGATTTTTAATTGGTCATTATAATATAGATTCTTTCTTTTTCCAAAATATGAACTGTCAAAAAGTAAATGAGTATGTACTTTTTTTTCCCATGGCTACAAATAGCGCCACTAATCCTAATACGATTTAGTAAATACAAATTATGCAAGAAATTCACACTTCAAACTAATTCAGATAGTATGTATTTGTTTTCTGTAACTTATTATTTATAAATGTGTATGCATGTAAAATTCATTTAGTCCTTTTTGTGGAATGGTTCTACGTAATTTATCCACATATAATTCATACCAAAGCTAACTTAAAAAACTGATGATGCAGATATATTGGGAGTACAAATAAGTCTCTGCTGTTTGAAAAAAAGAAATGGTGCTTTCAGTAAGTGATTTACTTCTTTAATTTGAAGAAATCTGCAGCACAGGTGCATAGATTGCTTGTTGAAGCATATGGTGAGGTTGTCTTAAGGGAGAGAAGCTGCTTGTAGAAATCATGTTGTATATATGGTGGGATCAACTTCTTGGTGTCATGTATTACGAGTTGTTAAAACTGAACAAAACTATTACTGGGGCCCTCTACCAAACACAGTTGACGAGACTGAGCTCAGCACTCAAAATTTCACCCATTACTACTCCAGATACGATAAAACTATTCTCATGCAGGATAATACTCATCCACATCTTGCGGTGCCAGTCAAAACTTCTTGGCAACACTCAAATGAGAAGTTTTCCCCCTCTCCCTGTGTACACCAGACAATGCTCCTTTTGATTACTTCTTGTTTCAATTAACACATGGCTAGTCTGAACAGTGCTTCACATCATATGAAGATTACAAAAATTGGGTTGATTTGTGAATAGCCTTGAAAGATGAAGTGTTCTTCCAATGCCATATCCAAATGTTGCCAGAAAGATGGGAAAAAGAGTGGCTAGTAATGGATGGTACTTTGAATAAAACGTAACGCACCATTCTTCCACAATAAATGCCCAATTTTTTATCAAAACTAGCACAGACTTATCTGTACTCTCAATAGTACAAAAGACAAAACGGTAAAGATACGGATTTACAGTTTCCAATGAATACTATTTGACTAACTGAAAGGCATGCAACAACAGAAGTTAAAGAAAAGGTCTTCCTGCATGTTTACCAGCTCCACTAAGACAGTAATTTTTGTGATTTCACCTAGAGAAAAATAACTAGATTAAGACGGCACGATCTATGTTCATGGAAGACGCATCCTGCAAGGTGGTATGATGGTTTTCATTGAAGTAAAATGACAATAACAAAAGAATTAGAAAAAAGATTCAGTATATTTATCATGACTGAGATTCTTACATTGTTTCAAGATATATCACGCTAAATCAGATCTTTGGAAAAAAAAGGCAAGTAACTGTAGATGAACAGTTACTAGTCTGTTCGGATTTTTATATACAAATCATTAAACGTAGCTTCCCTCTTAGGCACTTATGCAGGAAGAAAACACAGCTTGGAAAATGTTATTTTACTTGCAGTAAAAATGATTAAATGCTTGAAATTTTACTGTTTCCAGGTTTTATACATAGGTCAGTCAGAAATTTTGTTGCACTACTGCATAAATATGTTCTGTCTATTTGGATGACACTGTGTAGCAACACTTTAAACATGTACGTTTATTGCGTGACATAGCGGCTTCCTCAAGGCAAGTTTAGTTTTCCTGATAATCAGTCGCAAACATGTCTCGACAGCTGCAAACAGCGTCCAAATTAGACAGGGTTCGAAGCCACAGTTTAGTTAAAAAAATAAGCACTTATAAGCACTTTTCAAGCACATTTTAAGGAAAAAATAAGCACCTGTCTAATTACATTATATATAACTGCATAACCTTAAAAGAAAAATTAGACTTGTAATTTAAAATATGAGCAATGCAATATTTATTAAGAGAATGAGCATTGAAATTTCAGTTCAAAATATAGAAAATAAATAATAATAAGCCATATTAATTGTATTGGTTTGGCACCTAATAATAAATACAATTTATTTTCCCACTCATATTAATATTTAAATAATTTAACTTAAATCAAAATTCTGAACATTTTATAAATTTTCATTGCATAACAGTTTTTCCTTAACATATATTCCAAGCAAAGTAAATTAAGTAAAAAAAAGGCACATTTCTGAAATCAGAAGATGGGAAATTGCTTCATGCAGTCATCCTTTAACAGTAAAAGCTTAACTAACCCGCATATTCGGAAATTCTGGATAGTAACTGGAAAAAGAGGAGTGGGGGAGATTGTAGCCGTTCTTTAGATTTCTCGGCTAAATAAATGATTTTGACATTTCGATATGTGCATCATATAAAAATAGACCAACGGAACTGAAAAATATTCTGCTTAGAAAGCACAGTAAAACTCTTCTAAGTGTTCATAAACAAATCTCGGACTGAACATCAAAATTAATTATCTCTACAAAATACTGCAAACGTTATTGCGCAATACGAGCGGCGGAATTCTTCCACATGTGATATTATGCAATCGGAAGCAACAGCTGCCGGTATTCGGAGAATAAAGAACTGAATAAAGGAAAAGAAAGAGACTTACTAATCTGGGGTGTTTCTGATGCAAAAACTTTTAGTCCTATTCAATCCAGATTGGACAGTGACAAAAAAAAAAAAAAAAAAAAAAAAAAAAAAAAACAGCTGTTTCAATATTAGAGATTTTGCGGAGAAAGGGGAGAACCTCCCAACCTCCATGCTGTATAATGTATTGGGGAAAAAAATAATTATTTTGACTATTCGATTACTCTCCTTTTATTTAAGCCTTCTGAATATTATTCCTTAGAAAGCTAATCTGTGTAAAAACACACCCATTTTTGGAAGTTTATCTATACTTCAGCAGTTACTGCAACTATATTATTATATTCATTCGTATGCTCATAATATAAGCATAACGATCATAATAAACACGAATATGAACTGACCACGCGGAGCGCGCACCATAGGTTACGGTAATGCAGAGAAAGGGGGGAAAAGCAATTTCCGGGAGTATGATTCACCATCTGACATTGCATATAAGGAAGAAAATTTGTTTATTTAGTTTCGGATTTGGTACAGGAAAAAAATGCGCGTTCATTTAAAAAAAAAGCACTAAAAGCAAAAGATAAGGGCTTTTAAAGAAAAAGTAAGCACCTATAAGGACCTTTATATTTTATTTTCAAATATAAGGACTTATAAGCACTTGTAAGGACTGCTACGAACCTTGTTAGAAATG